TGCTGAAGCGGAGCGATGAGCGAGCTATTTTAGCCGACAGTTCATACTACATCCTCCAGCAGACAAAGCCAAAGGTGGAGTAACCAGAAGACTGCACAAACCGCCAGCACCAAGTGCGCCTCTTGTTTTCACCAGCAGCAAAGCAAGGATAGCCATAGGAAAGGTGAAAGCCTCCAAAGCCATTGGACCCGACGGAATTTGCATGCTGATGCTGAAAAATTTGGCTCCTGCTGGAGTGAACTATCTAACTAAGGTCCTCAATCTGTCTATGGTCTCTCTCATCACAGCAGGCATCTGGAAAATAGGGAGAGTGGTTCCACTGCTTAAACCGGGTAAGCCGTCCAACAAAGGAGAGTCTTCTCGCCCGATAACTATACAAATCACCTGACCTCAGCGAGGCATCAGCATGGGTTCCGTAAAGTGCACAGCACAACAATAGCACATGACTCCATAAAGACCCAGATAACTCGTAGCATTAACCGAAACCGCCCCAGTGAGAGAACTATTCTAATAACGCAACTAGAAGACAAACGGTGGGCGGCGAATTATCTGTTCAGCTTTTACATTTCTAAGCTCCCTCAACCACCAGAGGTATTCCCGATTGTCTTTTATGCTGACGATTGCTCGAAAGCTCGCCGAGCTTTCTCACTTCTTTACTGCGCGGAGCCTAACCCCCTCCCCTACAAAATCCTCAGCAACGCTTTTCACCATTTGGACGAACGAGGTCAGACTGCAACTGAGTATTCTCGTCAATGACGAACCAATTCTGACGGTGAATAACCCGAAGATCCTCAGAGTAACCTTCGAAAGGGGTTCATAAAACTACCTGCGGACCCAACAGCTTACCGACAGCCTTGAACGGCTTTCACAGAGAGCTAGTCCCGAGTTATATAGACTCTCGACCAGTGAATGCCTTTCTGAGAATGCAACCACCAGACGTAGACGAGACAGAGTCTGCCTCGGGAGACTCGGACCACCATAGCCCAACTTGTTGAACTCATACCTGAGCAGAATAAATGCTGATGTGCCAAATAAATTCCCGGCATTCAGAGAGACGCCCGCTTACTCGCACCATCTTTTCGCATGCCCACTGAAATCCACCCTGCTAACGTCTCTAGCCTTATGGACGGATTTCATCGAGGCTGCACGCTTCCTGGGTCTACCGCTAATAGAGCTTGACGACAACGATACAACAACAGCAAGAACAAGAAACATGTGTTGGCATTAGCTGTGGGAAAAGAAGACATTTCAGAGTTCTTAAAAATGTAACTTTAAAAGATGCACTGCGCTTTTGTCAAATGCATTGAATGGGCTGAAGTCAATACTACAGATTTTTCAAGCATTTTGACATTTCAGAGCCTGAACGCAAAAAACACACGGTTATAATAACTTTCTTTTATTCTTAATATGTGACTACTTTTTAAAGCAATAAAATGTATTTTAATGAACAAAAAACTCAATCTGGATCTAGTGAACAATCTGTTTTCTATGAACTGGTCTTGCATTAATTAGTTCACTCGACCCAGATAGCACTGTATATATGAATAAATTTCCATAATATGTCAAATCAGATTTCAAGCCAAAATAGTGTCGCGCTTTTTTGTGATTTTAAAAAAGAATTTAATTTTTTTCAAACCCTGTAGCAGCCCTAAAAAGGTGTGCTAGACCACCCGCCCACTCCCTATAGAATGGAGGCAAATGAGGAAAGCTCGATCTTTTGGTGGCATTACCGACTTCCCGTTTCGACATCGATTTTCGGGTTAAATGGACCAGGAGTTCCTTTTTTTAAATTAGACAAACATACATGCACGTTTTTGTTTTTTTTTTGCAATGGACTTCCGGCTAAAATAATGCACTTCCGGTCTTTTTAATCCACTTCTGGTCGAAACCGGAAATCGGTAGTAATTCATATCTTTTCGTTTTCCAATAAAAATATGTTCACTAATTTCAGCAGTCCAGCATGAGTTGAAGTTCGAGGGCCATATAGAGTTTGAAAAAGGCAGTTCCTAGACAAAAGTTTCTAACAAAAGTTACGTATTTTTATCCTTAGCGTACAAATCTGAATTAAAAACATGTATGTCTAATTAAAAAAATTGACTTTAGGTCAGTTTCACCCACTTTCGGTCGAAACCGGAAGTCGGTAATACCCAAAAAATGATAGAGCATCCCTGATTTTGTAGATCATATGCATTGATATGTGATTGACGTCAGCAGTCTTTCTGAGTTAATCAAGTATAATTTTCTAGACTTGCTCTCAATGTGCGATATTTTTCTGTTATCCCTCCACCGCTGCAGTTATATACCTATGTACATACATATTTACTACCTCCAACCAACCATTTATTTCCCAGGCAATTATGATTTATAAGTTTTTAACAAATTTCTTTTCTCTTGTTTATCTTGTGTTTTTTTTTTTGACTCTACAACAGAAATTATAACTACTCTAGCCACAATTACTGCAACTCAGGAATTTTTCAGATTTCCTACGTACACACAAATGTAATTACCAGTTGAACACTTGTGTGCGGCCGCACTCGGACACACAATTTTCCATTTTCCTCGCTGCTGCCGCAATTAGTGTAGCAAGCAAAAAAATACATATGTACATATGTATAAAAATCCGAGAAAACACCTATAAGACGACCTCATTGCTGGTACATGCAATAGCAGACACTTGGCGGTGTGTGTGCTGCATTATGAAAATAAATAGAATACGCAAGAATTTACCTGCTTTACCGGCGTAGAAAAGGAAAAAAAGTAAAACAGGAAAGTATCAGCTTTGGAAAATTTCCTTTCTTTATTTCTGCGCGCTGCAATATTGAGTTATGTGGCAGTCACACCAAACTATAGAGAACTCAATAAAGGCACAACAACAATGGGGTCGCACCAGTGTTGCCAGATCAATAGTTTTAACTGTAAATTACAGTTTTTAGGCTACCTTACAGCTTTTTTTTTTTAATACCTTCTATTAAAAATGACATATTTTTTAATTTCAATATCAATCAATAAACTAAAATTTCTCTTAAGTTTTTTTTTTTTTGTAATTTTTTAGATAGAAAATGGGGCTAAAGGAGCAATGTTTCCTCTTTTGAAACCAATAAGTTCAGTTGCCCTTTGCATTCCAGTCGCCATAGCAAATGTGGAAAGAATATTTTCCCAAATCAAATTAAATAAAATGAGAAGTAAACTAGAAATTCCAAAACTCGCTGATAGTTTAAGAAATAAAGATTTCTGAAAAAAGAAATGTTTCAGGTTGATGCAGTTTTTTTTTTGTATAACTTTTAAGTTATTTCATTTGTTATTTAAATTTAGTAAAATGAAAAACCCTTAATTTTCCAAAAGCTCTCTTAGTTTTTGCAGATTTACAGTTTTTTGGTCGAAAAAACTGACTTTTTCGGGAATTTACGGTGTTAAAAAAAAAAACCCTGGCAACATTGGGTCGCACCTACTTGCTTACTGCTTGCCGCTCTCATGTTGCCTTTCACTGCTTGCTGAGCCTCGTAGTTTGCTCACCCGCTTATCTCTTTTTTGCTGGTAATTTAATATTTCTTTGGACTGCATTTATCTCGCAAGCAATGCAACAACATCGACTTCATGCGTTTCGCTCTTTATAGGCCATACTTAATGACTCATTGGCCAACTTTTATTTACCTTATTGACCTACTCGCTTGTCCAGAACATTGTTGATGGTTCGGAATATGTATTTTCGTAGGACCCGGCTCTACCCTCTTGCTTTTCCTTACCTTCTCCCTCTCAATGCATGCCGTCTGCATTGGCGCATTATCGTCGCCACTTTCAGCAGCCTGCTGTTATAGCTAGGCGTGGCTGTTAGTGCCGGAACTCCATTGTTTATTTTTATCATTTGATGTTTGCTGTTTGGGGAACGCAGAAAGCAAGCGAATGAAAAATACCAGCAATCAATAGACTCGGCCCCGATGAGGAAGTCGGCGTGAGGAAAATAATAGTTAAATGTTTGTTCAATGTATATGTATATGTATATGTGTGTGAGCAAAGCATATCTGTGCCAGTCAAACACAGACAGAATTGGAAAATCACCTGCTTTGGCGCGGCATTCAGTGGCTTCCTCTCACACAGCTCGGTTTGTCTTTTTGCACTATACTCCTTCATTTTACTTTGGCTTGGCTCGGCTTTCCCTTGCCCTCGCTATTCCAAGCGCCTTGCTTTGCTCCAGCCACCCTCTGCTCTCACTCCACACCATTCCATTAAGCGGCACTTCTTTTGTTCGCTCTAAATGAAGTGAAATGTTAGATTTGCGCACTTGTCAATATTTGCTCTAAGTTCCCTGTAGTCAAATGTACTAGTTGAAAACTACTTAACAACTAGTATGAACCGCATGCCCCACTAGTCAGCCAACTATCTTTTTTCCATACAAGCAACTGGTATTTTTAACATGGAGATGTCCTACGAGATGGCAATTGTCAGATTTCAATCGGAAATATACCAGTCTCATACTAGTTCAAAATATACAGAAAAATACTAGTCAAATTTTGGACCAAATATGCCAGTCTCATACTAGTTGAAAATAGACAGAAACATACTAGTCAAATTATGTAAAAAATATACCAGTCGCATACTAGTTCAGAAAAGACAGAAACATACTAGTAGAATTATTGACGAAGTATACCAGTCTGATACTAGTTCAAAATATACAGAAACATGCTAGTCCAATTATGGACCAAATATACCAGTCTCATACTAGTGCAAAATAGACAGACAAATTATAATTTCTAATATTACACATTTTTATTTGGCAGACTTAGATTTGCTAATCATTTCTTATTTATTCTAAGTATTTATTGAAAAAAAAAAAAAATACATAAATATTTCAAACTTTTGAAACTTAAATAAAAGCATTTTTCATTAATTGTTACTAAATGTAAAATATTTCAGGTACAATAGGTATCTAATAATGCAGTTAAAAATAAAATAAATACTTTGACTGAGTATTGAGTAAATTTAAGTAAAAATAAAAGTTTTCATTAAATCAAATTCATTAGCTTTACATTTCAGTGTTTTTTTTTTAATTTTATAAAAGTAATAGAGTCAAACCACGTGAAGTGGGCACAAAAATTTCCATCAAATACCGATTTTAATAGTAAATACATTATTGGATAGGGGCTTCGTCACTTACTAAACGCTATAATTGTTCTTTTCATATCCCGCTTTCTGTTTGTTTTATTAACAATTGAAATTTATTGCAAGATATAATTATAAAATCATTTTCCCATAAGCCATTTTAGATAATTGTATGAAATTTGTGTACTTATAGAAATATTATTATGTTGTCTATCAGCTGTTTATTTACTGAATAATTGTTAAAACAATAATATTTGGCAATAGTTTTAGATTACGCTGAAAACATTTACCTTTAATAATCTGTAAAAAAATGTATTCGTCAACTCCGTTCCAAAGATATCGACTTTTTTGTGCACAGACAAAGGCTCAGTTATGCATACTTTGCACTGACTTTAGTTTTAATCATTTACAGCGTGCAGAACGCGAAACAATTTCAATTGTTTATTAAAAAGCATTGCGAAATATTATTGTTTAAACAATTATACAGTAAATAAAAGGATGATAGAAAGCATAAAAATTTTTCTATAAGTACACCAAATTTCATGCAATTATCTACAGCAGTTTATGAGAAAATGATTTTACAATGGTATCTTGCAATAAATTTCAATTGTTAATAAAACAAACAAAAAGTGGAATATGAAAGGAACATCTATAGCGTTTAGTACGTGACGGACCCCATATCCAAAAATGTATTTACTATTAAAATCGGTATTTGATGGCAATTTTGGGCCCACTTCACGTGGTTTGACTGAAGAGGTAAAATTAAAAACTCAAAATTTTGATAAAAAAAAATTAAAAAAAAAAATTCATGTACATAGTTATAAATGAATACTAATTATTGACTAGTTTGGCTAGTTGATTGTGCAGCTTTGTCCGAGCTTCTTTTTTGAAACTCTCGCTTCTTGTGCAGCTGCATTGCCTTCCTAAGTTGCACCTCAGGCTCATCACAACTTGTAATGCTTGTTATTGATTCTACAAAGAAAGAATAATAAATTGAAGATAAAATTTTAATCCAAATTGTTAAAAATAACAAATTAATATTAACAATTAACACTTAATTAAAAAAATAATATTATGTTATTTACCCAACAAGGCTGAATAAAACTTAGAGAACTCCTTCAGACCTTTCTTGCCGTGTGTCCCGTCTATGTTATAAGTCATTATGATTTCGGTTGTCAACAGATATCTTAAGTTTTTCATCACCGAATGGTTTAATACTGTCCTCATAGTGGTAATCTGGCAAATATATTAATAATTATCAAGTCTACCATTATATTTACAAAGTTATTACTTACAAACAAATGAGTGTTTTCTGGAAAAATTTTGGATTCTATTGTATTCAGGTCCTCAGTGGTTTTTATCGGAAAGTATTGCTTTACTGAAGTAAGCACGTTATCTTGCCGAACTAACTTCTCCAATATAATTTTTTGTTGAGCAAGAGCAGACATCACAGCATCATTTTGAATAGATACGGTTGCTATAAAGACATAAAATAATAGTTTGAATAAATTGCTGTAAAATACAACATGAAAAGATTCTTACAATTAAATTCTTTTTTTAAATTTTCCACGGTTTCTGAAAAAAAAAAAAATATTATTTGGGAAACATTCTTTGTATACCCATAAATTAATTTACCTTGCAACGTTTTCAATCCCTCCACTAAGAATTTGCAACTCTCGCATGCTGGAACTGTTTTTTTATCTGCATAGAATAGTACATTTGTATATACATATTTGAATTTTATGTGTATATAAAAGTCATTAACATAAAACTTACACGGTGTTGCTACGTTTTCCGAATCTGTTAAAGCCATTCTCTTCATTTTCTTGGACATTGCGTATTGCGTTTTGACTTTTTTGAAAAGTTTTAAAAAAATGTGATCTATTTATATATATTAAAATGAAATATTTACATTTAAATTAATAGCAGCCATGCTGCAGTGGCATAAGTAGCATACTGTCATCATAAGGAAGACCCATTAATTTGCATTCTATATTTTCTATAGGATAATAAACTTCTGCACTATCTAATGAGGAATCAGCTGTACATATCCCCAATGTTAAAGAGTCAACCGGGTCACAAAAAAAACTTCTTAAATTAGTAAATTTTTTCCCTATAACAAATTTTTTGTCTTCAGAAAACCTTTGAATTGCTATGGGTTCATAAGGATTCATGAGACAATAGTTGTCAGGTTGTTTTGAACAAAATATGTAATCCCTAAAATAAAAACATAAACCTTTGCCTTTTAATGATTTAAAACTATTGGGTTTGTCTTTTTTGATCAAACTTTCTTCTGCTATTTTATTTACAAGTTGTTGGAGTATGTGAGTCGGTTTTTTGACATATTTTTTAAGAATCTGTAAATAATTTTCGAAATCGTACGCCGAAAAGCTTGAAAATAAACCTATTGATTTTATGCTTTCTGTTATGTGAAGTAAATTATGTACATTGTATGTCAAACTGGAATTTCCGAAAACTGTAGAAAAGTTTTGTACAAACAATAATATCATATTTTCAGCAATACCAAAATTGTTCATATATGATTTTGGACAAAATAGCATCCTACATGAGCAATGCAATAACAAAAATTCATAATAAAGGTCATCATGAACATTGTCTTTCAAAACAAGAACTCCTGTATAAAGAAGAAATTGACGAAACTCTGTTGCTTTCCAGTTTGGAATATCGTTGAATGTTCTGGGCTTTCTTACAAATTCTTTCGGGATATAAGGTTTCAATGATTCCAAAAGTTCTGACATTTTTGATTTCTTAATTTTTTCCACTTTCAAATTTACTTTATTTTGTAATATTCTTAATAAATATTTACGCATTACCCCCAAATCTATCAAATGCATGCTATCTAATGCTACTTGGCTTATCATTTTTAAATCAATGTTTTCAAATGGTGTCTTAGCATTTCGAAATTTAGGTAAGTGATGGCTGATATATTTTCTGTTTAAGAAATCGTCGTCACTCACAAGATCACCTGACTCAGAACTGTATACTAGAACGTTGTTTACTTTCTTTCCGATTTGCGTACATTTGCTGCAGCCGTGCGAAGATACATGACTAGGTGCGCCGCAAATAAAAGCTCTAGCGGGCGCATCGCAAACTAATGCTCTAATATGAACTCTTATTATTTTTCCGCCTAAGTCAAGACCATTATACCTTTCATTTCTTCAACAAAGGGACTCAAAAAATCAAAAACATCATCTGGTTTCTTTTTGCCTAAATAAATACCCACTGGAAAAACACAAACCTTTTTAAATTCTACTAATCTAACTAAAATTGGCCACAATTGAGTACGCGAACTTCTAAACAATGGCAAGCCATCAATGTTTATGTCAATAGAAATTTCGTCAACTTCTCTTAAAATATAATCTATTTTTGCTAACTGTTTTTGTAATCCAATATGGCAATAAAACCCAGGTGCAACAGTTTTAACAATTGCCTTTTCTCTTTTTTTGGCATAAAAGGTCTCTGCGCTTCGCTGAACATCCAAATTCTCGTCCCGCAAAATAGAAAGAAGCTTCTCGAATGATTTACGTGACGGTTGGTATTCAACATACCAATCTAAAATTTTATCCTTAAAAGAACGTGGCTGGTCACAATATGCAGATAAACTCGGTGATTCTAAATTTATATCTGAATCTATACCGGATTGCTCAGGATTCTGATATTCTGAACCAACCCGTGCGTCTGAATATGCGGAATTTTCTGCTGAAGAAATTGAGCAAGTTCCTGCTTCACTATTTGAATTAGGAACTGCACCCATTAAATTCTGACTATACAATTCCCTTTGTTTTTTCACAAGTCTTCTTAGATGTCTTTTGCTACTCATATTTACCAATACTTTAAGTCACAAATGTTCAATAATACTCAGAATTCACAAGATTAAATAAATCACAAATTTTTCACAACCTTTTCGCTCCAATTATTACGCATTAATTATTAGATATGTGAAAGCTAAGATGCGACGCAATCGAACACATTGAATAGAGCATTTCATCGAACAAATAATCGGAATCATTGTCATCAAAAATGCCTAATCTACGTTTTACTTGAGCGAGCGATATTCAGTTGCTTGAATGAACAAAGAGATGTCACTCTTGCATACTTTAATTTTTTTTGTAAGGCTTTTATCTATAATCACTGTAGCTCTTTGCTAGTTCATCATAGCAACAACCTCAGCTACATAAATAAAGCCAGTTTTGACTTAGTTTTTATTTTGATATATTTATAATATTTGGTAAAACAATTTCTCAAATGCTTTCAGAATTAGAATTATTACCGCTTACCAAACAAGGTAGAAAATAAGAAGGGACAACACGGTATAATTCTACGTTCTTTGCGCTTACTCAATACGTAATTTATTACAATTGCATTGATGCCAATATATACCCCCCATTAGTTTTATCGAAACGTCTGCATATTTGTAGCGTAAAAAATCGATAATTGGTAATCGCCCCATCAATGAAAAAAATTGACAGCTGGGAATTTGCTATTTGTTTTGTTTTGGTTTGGTTTTCTTTCTGCAGCTAAAAGCTTTGTAAGTATAAAAACTGCTTATCAATCAAATGTTTATTAATAAATTAACATTTTCAGATTAAAGCACTGCTGCGGAAACATTTGAAGGATGAGTTTCTAAATTTCTTAAAGGTACGGGTGACCTGAATGGACGGCTTTGTTTTTATAACATTACATATTTGTTATTGAGCTGCAATAGTTGCAACAGGGCACGTTGTGTTCTAAAAACATCCTTTTGAGTAAGTAAATAATATTTTGGCGTTGTAAATCAGTTAATTTTCAGTATCCTAATCCAGAATACCCCACACCCCAGTGTTATACAGCGTGTGAATCATCTGGAATTGAGAAAACGTCGGGACAGCTCAGCTCGGAAATTTGCAAGAAGTAACCTAATTCAAACCCAAATTATTAATAAGTTGGTGCACAGGAATAGTATTTTTTTTCTTTTAAATACATCGTAGACTCTTGTCTACAAGTGTATGTAAAAGTTTTTGATTCGGGTCACGCGTTTGGGCACAGCGATCCAAAATCGTTCTACAAATAATTTACCGTACCCAAATCATTTGCAAAATACTATCAAGCAACAGGAACAACAAACAGGATCACTGCATAAGTAGGATGTCTTATTTCAAATTATTGGATACATACATATGTATATGTAATTTGAATTGAATTTTAAAATACATTGTGCAGGCTCTTAGCAACAACACCAAGTGAAGCTCGTCGACTTACATAACAGAATAAAAATGCAAGATTCCAGTATAAGTTCAGCGCTTGCAAAATACCGATTTCCTGTTTCCTGGATAAAGAATTGTACGTGAAGAATGGTCAGTTAGTCGGCACAGTACAACAAGCAGTATTAAGATCGGCTCAATGTCTTACATAAATAACTACAGGGCTAATTTCATGTTCCCCAAAGATTCGAGATTACTTATTTGCATTGCATGTACAAAAACATTTACGTCTACAAGAAGATATGAAAATTGCTTTACACGGTATGTATTTGCAAGTTCTTTGAAAACGAAATAAACCTAACACAAAAGAATCTATCTCTATGGCAGATGGAAATTAAATTTCACGTTTCTAGTTCGTCTGTACGTGCATCTGCTTTGTGCATGTATGCCTTTCCATATGTAAAAAGTAGCATTTACAGATGCAAACGCATGTCGTGTAAAATCACTTTAACAAACATGAATATCATTGATTTTTTATAATTTTTTTCTGACGGTGTTATGCACTTTTTTTCGTATAAAATATTACTTTGTATGGAAGAAAACGCGTGATATTGGCACCAAAAAAATATCAAAAATTAACGCGATTTTTTAGCCACTTCAAACTTGCACTTTATCCAGAATGTAATAAACAATAAAACTGCATACCAAAAATTATTGTAGAAATTTAAATTAAAATGCTTGGAATTGGGATGAAAAGGAATATTTAATAATAT